ATTATTAAATTTATTATTATTAAATTTATTATTATTAAATTTATTATTATTAAATTTATTATTATTAAATTTATTATCATAAAAAAAAAAAAAAAAAAAAAACTTACTGCAATTATAATTATTGCAAGAACATCTTCAGGTACTCCTTTATTATATAATTTATCTAATGACCCGGCATCCATATATTCCATACAATAATATACACAAGATTCAGTGAAGAATGCACCGTAAAATTCAACAATGAATTCACTTTTAGATTGATGAAGAATATCCAGCTCCATCAATATTTGATTCAATTTTGCCTCTTCAAGTTCAAGGCGAGTTTCCTTCAATTTAATTTAATTTAAATTATTAGGTTTTATTTATTTTTTTTTGTTTTATCTTGAAAATAAATTAAATTAATTCTTCATTTCATACTCACTTTCATTGCCATTATTACGTTAGTAGGTTTATGGAACACCTTTTGTACTGTCCCAAATTGTCCTTTACCTAGTTCTCCCTCTAATCTTAAATCGTTCATGTTTATTTTATAACTTGTACCATTGCTGAAATCCACTCCTTGAGCGTGTAATACAGCCTTCCCACTAAAATTAAGTTTTCCTGAAGGGTCTCTATAAAGTATATAAACTTAATTTCATATTGATAAACAGAACTTGTTTTCAACTAATATCAAGGAATTACTTACACAAACTGCGAGAAATTGGCAAAAGGTGTCCTCGTGGTATTTCCTACATCGGGAAGTCTCATTGAAGTCGGCCCCTTTCGTTGTTTCGTTATTTGAACATTTGATACCGGTCTAACCGTTCTAACCGGTCTCGAAGACTCCAACTTGCTCGAAGATAGTTTAGCAAATAAATTTGGAGTTGTTCGAACCGAAGTAACTTCGGGTTTACTATCCGACACAGTCAAATCTGAAAGTAGTTTATTAAGATCCAAAACGGCAGTATGTAATTATAAAAAGGTAAAAAACTAAAGACTATTTTGTGGCTAATAGTTCTTATTGGAAATTCTTAGAACATATCATAACTGTCACATAATAAAATTTTATCACCCGGATAAATATAAACTCCCCTATCACTCATTCAAAATCTTTTTTTTTATTGGGTCTTATTAATATTTTTAATATTTTTTAGTCCCATGACTATTTTTCAATGAAGAAAACAAATTATTTTATTCCCCATTTTTGGTATAATAAACAAAATTTTTATAAGACAATAATACATAAATATACAGTATAAAAATTCTTTAGTTGCATTTTCTTGGCAAAATACATTGACATTTTGGAGATTATCAGAATTATGAACAAATTTCAAGTTATAACCTACTTCCTTTTGTTCATATCTTCTGATGTATAACATACTGCGGATTTAAAAAGATTAGGGAAAAATAAATAATTTGAATTTCCCCTCTGACAATATACTCCCAAAGATTTTTTTATTAAATACTAAAATAACCTTGTACGATCAAGGGTAAAAATGTGATTTTAAGCTTTTTTTTTAAAAAAAAGAATATTTATTAAAATATTGTTTTTCGGATAAATTACTATAACATAATTACATAATTGCTTACATTTAAATCCCTATTAATCTGAAGTTCACTTTATTTTCATGCAAATTTCTCTTGATATATTCACAATTACTACAAGTTTTACTTGTATAAACTTCAGATACAAAAGTTATTATGATTTTATCAAGTTCTTCTGCTTTAGATATCAATTGATTCCTAAATCTAACATGTGTCCAACTCATCTATTTCTAACTGCCTTACTATTGATTTTCCTTTCTTGTCTTTTAGACAATTAAATTTTGATAAAATAATTATGTCAAAAGTCTGAGTTAACCATGATGCAGTTTTTTTATACACTTTACTCACTAAATTTCTAATGCTCAGGAGATTTTCACATGTGATGATAGCAAAAGCTTCTGATATATTAATTAAATCATTTTAATATTTTCGAGAGTTGACTATAAAGAAAAAAAGAAAAATCAGTCAAAAGAATTTTACATAAATTTAGTGCATGAAGAAATATAAGTGAGGTAAAAACAAACCTCAACTCACAATAATATTACAACCAGTTTTTCAATTATGAGCAGTTGTACATTTGATTATAGAAGTTTTGTTTTTTTCAAAAAACCTAACCCCCATAATTCCATGGATTAAAAAAACAGGCAGTACAAAAAGGAATTAAAGGAATTCTGATTTTAGCTGATTTATAATATAGGATGTAATAGGATGGTCAATTTTAACTGGTTTATAATATAGGAATTCTGATTTTTAGCTAATCTATAATATAGGAATTATAATTGAGTTAAACATAATTAAAAATTGAAAAAAAATTGAAGTTAAGTGAAATTTTCATTTTTACATAGTAAATTGACACAATTATTGAATTAGACATAATTAAAAATTAAAAGAATTAAAATTGAATTAAAGACTTTTTATGTAATAGTTTTATTTAATATAATAGTTTTATTTTATATCTTATGACATGATTTATGTAAAATTTTATATAGCATTTTATTTTTTATTTTATTTTTATTTTATATTATTTTTATCTCATTAATAACACATGAGATTAACCTAACATAAGGAATTAGTATAATTAATCTTTTTGATATTGCTAATTAGTTAATTATCATATGTTATCTATTATTTATTTTATTACATTTATTTTATTATTATATTTATCATATTTTTATTATATGCATGTTGCCATTCAGATTGGTCTTGTAAGACCTATATATATAATTATTATATATTTATAATTATGTATTTTTATATATAGGATATATGAATAAATAAAGGATAAGCTAGTTCTTGTTTAATTATTTAATTATAAAACAAATCTTAAATAAATATTTGTTGATATTTATTATTTTCTTCTAACAAATTTATAAATTTGTTACATTTTACTTTTGATAACATATATAATAAGAATCATCATTTGATACAGTAATTCTTTTATATTTAACTAGTATCCTCTTTTTTTTCAATTTATGGCATATACATACATTATAAAAAATTCTTATATTGAATAGAAATCACAAACAAATAAGTAAAAAATTAAAAAATACTATATTTTCAATATAAGAAAATCTTATCATATCAATTGTATATAATTTTTTTAAATTTACAAAATCTATTCTATTATTTTTAATGTTTTTTCACAATAAAACATCATGCATTATAACTATCAAGTCAACTTTATCATTTTATTTCTTTAATTTTATTTCTTTAATTTTATATTTTGAATAATTCTCCAGAACATAATTTAATAACAATTTCAAATTTATTATATCATCAGGAAATTTTAAAAGTAAATATATTCAAATCACTGGTCAAAATCTGGTATATTAGACATTTATCAGGCACTTATTATGGTATCTGATAGATACCTGATATATATTTTTTGACATATATTAGGTATCCAATAAATGTCATCTTATTCTCTAATATTAAATACTTATTGGAAACTTATTAATCATATATACTACATATATTGAACACTTATTTTTTAGTTATTTTTTTTATATCAATCAGGTATCTAATTTTTTTATTCAATATTGAGGACCTATTAGTAATATATTTTTCCTTCTGATAGGTGTCTGATATTTTTTTATTACACCTATCGATCTTCTGATACTTTTATTTATTATATCTGTCAGGTATTCAATAAGTGTAGTAGTCATATTGTATTTGAATACTTTTTCCAAATAAATCATACAAATTAATAACTTTATTTATTACTACACAAATTTTATACAATTTTATATAATATATATATATAATATATCCAATAACCATTTATTTTTATTAATATAATTATTATTGCATATAATAAATATGTGAAATTTAAAATGTTTTAAAAATATACTATTATAATAAAAATATAAAAAATTTAAAATGTTCAAATGTCATAAAAATATACTATTATTATTACCGTTATTATTATTACTATTATTAAATATTCATTATAAAATTGTTCATTTTCGTTAGCTTTTTTTATTTTTTTTTTTTTCTTTGATATTTCGTAATCATGATTTCTTTTATTTTTTGATAATAATGATGATGATGTTTGATTTCATTTTCTTTTTCCTTTATCAATCACAATTAAGTTATTATTATCACTATCTTCTTCTTCCTCTTCTTCTTCTTTTTTTCTTTCTCTTCTTCAGTATTTTGATCATATATTTTTATTTTACTTTTATCTTTATTTTCAGATATTAAAGTCTCTTTGCTAAGTGTTCATAAAGAAACCCTTTTGAGAAAATTTACCTCTTGATGAATCTTTAATACAATATTTCTAATTCTTGATTTATTTTGTTTCTTACAGATCTGAGCTATGAACAGATCAATTTGTTCATGTAATAATTTTAATAACTAAATAAAATATATATATTAATAACATGCCCAATTGATATAAAAAAATATTATTATTATTTTATTTACAATATCTGATCTTCACTATTTTTCATATACATATATGGAAGTTTTTTTTATGATAAAGGTAACATTATCATTATTATTATAATCATTGTTATTGTCTAAAGCATAGTTATTATTATTGTTATTATTATTATTACTACTATTATTATTATCATCATCATTTTCATCATCATCGTCATAATCATCATCATTATTATTATCATAATCACTATCTATAATTGTTGATCTTGCTTCTGATAATGATAATGACAATATTGTTCTTGCTACTGCTGATAATGATAATGATGTTGTTGTTGTTGTTATTGTTGTTAATTCTAATATTGTAATATTTCTTTTTATTTTCATTGTTAATTAAAATTAATGAATAAATTTAAATAATAAAAATATTAACTTACCTTATCATCTTTTTCTTCTCATTCTTCTAGGTGATACCTAATATCATTCAAAATTTTTTCAAGATCTTTCTTCAGATATCTTTTTATATACTTGTCCTTATCCTCTCTCATAAAGTCAACAGCCTATTTTCTTCTTTTCTTTTTCTGTTAAAATATAAATATATATTTACTATACCTGATATATGTGTTAATTTATAAATTAAAAAAAAAAGACTTACATTACTCATTGCTGTATTTTTTGTCACATGTCTAGAATTCTTTTTTACAAAGTTTTTACCTTTGGTTTTAATATTATATTCATGATGCTGAGACCTATGGCGTCACTACAACATTTGTACTATATCTGCAAATGCAACTTTATATTTTTTGTTAATTCTTCTTCTTAATAATGATAACAACTTCATTAATATATCATTTTTCTGTACTTTCCAAGTTAATTCTTTTTATATCCGATATATTGAGTAAAGATCTAAATTTGCTACAATAAATATCTCTTTCTATAAAATTAAATATTTGTATATTAATCATATACCTGATAAATATAATAATATAAAAATAATTTTATATTATACTTACCTTAAACCTATTGTATAATTTTTTATCTAGATATTTGATACTTTTATTTTTATCTGATGAAAAAGAAAAATAAGAAGAAGAACGAAAAGAAGATTCTGATGATAATAGTGATGGTAATGATTATACATATTCCCAAAATTGATTTTGGATTTTTGAGGTATTTCGACTTTTTGAGATTTATGCAAAATCTATTCTAT